AGTATGTATCAAAAACAACAATCGATGATCTTTCAACTCGAACTCAATTAACGCCAGCTCAAATTCGTGTTTGGTTTACTAATAAACGTACAAGAGAACGTCAATAATTAATTTTTTTTTTATATTAACTTTTTTTTCTTTTAATTATAATAAAATAAAATAACTTACTCTTCATTCCATTGTCTTGATGCTCGATGAAAAACAATTAATTGATTAGGATTTTTAATACAACCAGCAAGACCATGAAGTTTATATTCATGTTGATTATCTTCATCTAATAATAGAATATTTAACGATTTATTTGCAATAGCTTGATAAGTTAATAAATTATACAAAGGCAACATATTAAAGAAAAAAACTTTGCACGAACAATTCATCAAATTAATCAAGAAGAAAAAATGAAAACTATTTCAAAATAAATTTATCAACAGATTTTAATCTTCCGGGACAGATAGTACGCAGTATAGACCTGGAGGTGAGGGTGAGAACGAATCTATGTTTTATCGACACCCACGCTCACCCGAAGCTCAAGAGTGAATCTAATTCATATGAATTTTGAATCTTATTGAGTTTTAATGAAATAAAAAATAACAAGTTGGTTCTAGAAATAATTCCGTTCTAACAGAATTAAGAGATTTTTATATCTAGTCAAATAAAAGATATAATCAGTATGTTAAATGAAGAAAGATCGACAAAAGAAAGTGAATTATATGGTAAACAAAGTGGTTCACTTGCTTGGAAATTGTCACGTGGAGAAAGAGATCAACAAGTTTCTCTTGTTTTACTTCCCTAGAACTTAGAAATGATTTAATTCAAATTGAATATAATTTTGTAGTCGATAAAGTACGTCAATAGTAGAACATAAAGAACAGGTATGTATAACAGTAAAACAGAGCGAAAGAGAAAGAAAGAAAAAGAAAACAGTAAGCCATTTGTAACACTTGTCTTTCTTATCAAAACTGTTTCCATCTTTCTTCATTCAATATATATTGATTGCGATAGTTTATACATCTTGAAGAATTTCTTTGGCTTAACATATAAAGAAAGCATAAATTTATCTTTTTTTAAATGAATAAAACAATTAAGAGAAGAATCTATATGTGTCTAGCATATTGTTTTTCGAGAGACTTCATATTATCAAAAAGACATTAATATGGTATGTTTTTAGTTTCCATCTCTCTATCTAAAGGCTCAATAGAGCATTTTCTGTTGATATAATCTTGCGAATAGTGCATGATTTGTACATCTCTACATTGATACGTATGAGAAAATTATATCCACTATCTTCGGTCTCTTCACAGCAACAATAGATTCAAAACTATTTG